AATATTATAAACAAAAATATATGAGGATGTTAAGACCTTAGATAATGAGAGATCTACATCCTTAGACAGGAAAGGTTCTTGTTAACTGGACTCTTGGCTATTTCTAATGCTGTGTTTGGCAGTATTCACTATTACTAGATAAACAGGAGAAAATGAAAAAAAAACATTGAATGGATAACAAGGTAGAATTCAATTTTATATTCTTCAAGGCAACATGCCGCTAAATACAGCAAAAAATACATTATCTAAACAATCAATTAAAAAAGGTAAAAATAATAGATACAAGACTAGTTAAATATTCCATCTCAGCATAACTCCACAACATTAAGCTTAATTGATTAATAATACAGGACAGAGTTTTCAAATTCTGTGAGATGAAATCCACTTGTTTTTAGTTGCTGAAGTTGTGAAACACTAATCTAGATCACATCCAATTATTTGAGTGGACAATGACTCCAATTTGACAGTGGGCAATGATTGTTCCAGCCCACGGGCCCATACTATCTTATTTTGGGTGTATAAATTAAAACAAACAAAATGAAATGAGATTATCAGATGTCCAGAGGGAGTTTGAAATGAGGTGCTATTAATATTTGATAATTCTTAAATCTATCACTTTTTGATACCAAACTCCAAAAAAAAACCTTAGACACACATGCACAAAAACCCACACTCCCAGTAGGTATTGTCCTTTTGTATTTGCAGTTCTTGTTTGAAGAGCAGGAGGCAACTATGGGCAAGAGGGCCTTTGCACAATACCTATTACACTCCTCACTCAATTGTGACATTGCAAGAACCTACTTATGCACCCATCATTTCATAGGTCAACTACTGAAATATGCTGTACATTGCCTTGTCTTTGAAGAACATTTGGAAGATTCAGCTGATTCAGAAAGCAATGGCACAAGTAATGGTGGCCTTGTCTCACTATAACCAGGGGTGGGATACAACAGGGTTAATTACCGGTTCAGGATTTACGAGCTTCCCTGCAGGCTGCGAGCCGCGTGCCTGTAAATCATCAGCAGCTGCCTGCAGAGAAGCAGCCTTTGAAACAGCCCTCTTTTCTTGCTTTTCTAACTGCAGCTGTGCCTCATTCGGCAGCTGAAGTTGAAAAATCAGGAAATAAAGATCAGGTAACAGCCCAGGTGAGTGGGTGGGCAAAAACATCAGCAGACATAGAACCGGTTCTATGTTTGCTGCTCTTCAGAGCTACCAGTTCTACAGAGGTGGACAGAACTGGTAGAAGCCCACCCCTGATTATAACCATGGACACTTTATCTTCATGAGCTGCACTGGTTACCAATGTGCTTCCAGGGGTGATTCAAGGTGCTGGTTTTTACCAATGAACTCCTATTTGATACAGGGCTTGGTTATTTGAAGAACTGCCCATCTTTCATGGTTTCTCCCTGGCCAATAAGAATCACAAAATGAGCATGCTCCAAGTCTACTTAATGTCAACTCTTGGGATCCAGGTTCTATGTTGTAGTGCTTACCCATTGGAATGAAGTCCCATCTAGGATCCAGATAGTTCCCATCCTGATATTATTGTGGAAGGCCTTGAAAGCCTGGTTGTTTTTCTAGCTTTCGGGGTAGAGTGATAGAACCCTATGATGAATGACATATCCTTCCATAGTTTATCAGCCCATTATACATATTTAGTTGGTTGTCTGGATTCTCTCTGTGTTTATTTATTCCATAGCTTTCAGCTCATCAGTGGGAAGACTTCTTGATCCCACCCAGTGGTGGGATTCAATTATTTTTTACTACTGGTTCTATGGGCGTGGCTTGGTGGGTGTGGCAGGGGAAGGATACTGTAAAATCTTCAGTCAGAGGTAGTATTTGCCGGTTCTCCGAACTACTCAAAATTTCCGCTACCGGTTCTCCAGAATTGGTCAGAACCTGCTGAGTACCACCTCTGACTCCACCCTATCCCTGCATTCACAGTTGCTTATGTGGAAAAGAGAGAATTCATGCCAACTTTTGCCATTCCTAAATCAGTCTGATATGATGGCAGTTATCCAGGTCTTGGCATGATCACAGGCTAGCCCTAAGGAATATCTGGAAATTTCCATAAATGCAAAATGTGGCAGTGAAGATGTCAACTTGTGCATAATATAGCGAGCTTCGAAATCTTCACTAATTGTCATTTATTTTCCAATTTCATTTTAAATGTTGCTTGTAATTATTAACACTTTAAACAGCTTAAGCTGTTCCCAAATTGTCTTGATCTAGCTGAGGACTCCAAGGAAGCCAATTATAGAGTATATCGATGCAGGCTTTCACAGCGAGCATCAATCCAGTGTTGATGAGCTTCCAGGCTAATAGGCCATAGTCTAATTATCTGGTATCCTGATGTTTTGTCAGCAAGCATGGCTGGCATCTTCAGAAGTGAAAGTGGTCTGCTGTATAATGTACTTTCTTGGAAGCTCACAGGCAATTGAGGAGGAACTGACTCTTGTGTTTGTAACAGAACTAATCTCTAATTGGATCATATCATTGGAATTTTGAAAAGCCAGTTTCTGATTGGTTCCTTGCCTCAGTCAGTTTGTAACTGGTCTACTTGTGAAGAAGTTCCGAAGAAGGTAATTTATGATTGGCTGTCCTTGAAACATGCTACTGCTGCTTTTAGTTGAGACTACTGTAGATTCCAAATGGAGTTGATTAATTAAGGGCTATTGTATTTTGGTGTGTCCTTTGTTGAAAAAAATACAAAAATATATTTTATAAAATATAAATATCAAAATATAAACAAGTCTTATTTAGCAGGCATAAGCAGTGTAAAGCTGTAAAATTAGAATTGTATAACATAGCAGCAAAAATAACCAGAGTGAGGTAGAAATTGGAGCTTACAAGCCTTTAGCTTTTGCTTCAAACTATTTGATAAGTAATTCAGTAATGAGCAGCAGGTTGATTCTTGAGTTCTTTGCTAATTACAGTAAAGTAGAAAAAATAATAACTTCAGCTGAAAGTAATATTCTGGTGTAACACCAAAGGCAATATTAGCCTTTCTATTTCTACCTAGTTCACTGTAGTTCTAATACAGTAATGCTGTGGACATCCTACCCCACTCTCTAAAACAGGGGTGGCAAACTTGTATCATTACGCTGACCATGCCCGGTTTAGTAAAGTGGAAAAAAGTCCCAACACATCATTTTTATATTTGTCTTGAAAATAGCAGTTTTGGGGGTTTCTTGTAGGAATAATCCAGAAATCCTTTGAACAACAGTTAGATACTCCTGTACAATAAATATTTGTGATTTTTCCCCCGTTTTGAGTTGTTGGGATGGTACTTTCCTAAAACATTTAAATAAAACTTTCTGGGGTTTTGGAAATCGTCAGACAAACTTTAAATGATATGCTTGAAAAGGTGACACATCTTAATTTAATACAGATAAAAAGGGAACTTGAAAAAAAGCCTTTTTCCAGATTATACTCTTTTAAATTCAGTATGTTATTTGCTTATTTGGCTGAATAAACTTTTATTTTATTATATTATCAAACTGTTGTATTTGTCAGGAAAGTGAAGCAATTTGAGGAACTCCTAAAACCAGCATATAAGGAAAAGTAGGTAGACCAGTGAGAAGGAATAAGCAGAAAGATGCTTAGAAGTACAGTAAATGGAACCACATGACTTGTGAGGAATTTCCCCCATCTCTGAGGCAAGGGAAATGTTAGGGTCTTGTTTGCAGTGGGGTGGGGTAAAATGTGCTATGTAGTAACTAATTCAAGACTGCAAAGGCCTGCCTGGCTATTAGCTGGTAGCAGTGAGATACACTCGTTTTGCCACATCTGTCATACACCTGGATATTTACAGCCCACGTATGATAGCTATAATTCTTATTCCAAAGATTTTTTGGGGGGAGAGGCTTCAAATAAGTTTTTACTTTGGCAACTGCCAGGTCCCTGCAGTTTTCTTGGCAAAGCTTTCTGGAAGTGTTTGGCCACTGCCTCTATCCCAGAACTGACTGAGATTGACTGTCCCAACATTACCCAGTTGGCTTTGTGCCTAAAATGAGACTATAATTCATGGTCTCCCAGTTTCCAGCCTTAATCACTACACCAAACTGACTCTATTCTAGGAATTAGAGAACCATTTATTTTATAATTGTTTTCCACACAAAACCATGGTATTTCTAAAATTCAGCAGTCCAGTTAGAGTAGTAGCAGGCACCTTAGAAAACAGGCTGCAGGTTTGCATAAAGCTCAAGGCTGGAGATTGTCTGCTTCATTCAAACTGAATGCAAAGACATCCACAGAAGAGATAGAGAGGGAGGGAGGATGAAATGCCAGTTGTGATGTAAACTCTCTTTGTTACGATGTACTTGCATCACAAATATTTAAAGGGCAGAACCTTCACTGGTACATTACAAGTCAGTTTTGCCATTTTGGCATCATTGTGGATAGTTGCAGATGCCTATGATTATAAGCACAATTTGTCCAACAGAATGGTGTGCTCTGATTTAAATGGCCCTAGAAATGTCTTTTGAACCTGGGACATCCTGCATTGCAAAGCATGTACTTTAAAAGGAAGCAATCTCTGGTAAAGCATGTACGTTGCCTGGAAGCAATTAAAAACACAACTTCCAAGCATCTGAACAACTATTTCCACTGTTTCCATTTAGAACTTGTTAGTGTTTGAAGAATCTTAAGATTTCTTAATCTTTGTCTTCTAGAGCCAATACTACACTTCTATATTGTTTTGAGACTCTGGAGTGTTTTCAAGCTTATCATTTTGTCTTTGCTGAGGTCCTTGACTTTAATCCAAGGTTGAAAAGCTATTCTTAGGGTTAAGCTATTAGAATAGCAATGTTTGCATGAAGTCATACTTTACTTCAAATATTTAAAAATTCTTCTACTGTAGAAGACAAATTTCACTGCAGAATGACTAGGGAATATTTATTTTAGTCTGATATGAAAAGTGCTTTTTACAATTCCACAGCAATCTTTAGTTTTCTTAGAAAATACAGGGGAAGATAGAGAGAGATACAAGGAGACCTTACCTAGAGTCTGACCGGCGAGTACTCTCCCATTCTCCCCTAGGACAGCAGCCCGTGCATGCCTTTCATTTGAATATTGTACAAATGCATAGCCTTTGTGCACAGAGCAGCCCACCACTCTGCCATATTTAGAGAAGATGGTTTCTACATCTGACTTCTTGACCACTGCTGTGTTGAGGTTCCCAATGAAGACCCTGGAGTTGATGGACTTGGGATCATTCTTGTTTGTGATGTTACTTGTCTGTACTTTCAATGACATCTTGACACCTGAGTAAGCAAGATAATGAGGATCAGGAAGGCACTAACAACCTATGATAAGGTCCATCAATGGAGGCAATGTATATATGAGCTTATTGCAAAGATCAGCTTGCAGAACACTAAGTGAATCTGAAGCAATGTGCAGAGTTTCATACATTAGTATAATTTAAACAGTGTAAACCCTGAAACAATTTAAAACAACCTTACTCGGACTCTTGCAAAGGAGTGTATAATAGTGAATCATATACTTCTATGCAATGGAAGTGGTTTTGCCTGTATTTATGGCCCTCTAAGACTGTGTCCCACATTTGTTTATGGCACAAATATGTGCCAGCAGCATTTTTTCCCTGCAGTTTCCCCAGGCCATTGCTTTCATCTCATCCCAAGCCCATTAGCAATAGAAGTTTAAGCTGTCCTTAGCTGTACTGTTGTGGAAGTTTTGTTTTCCTGTAATGTTGATGGTTTTCTATGACAGTCACAAATCCATTACACTGGAAGTCAGGCAATTTCAGGTGACAAGTAGTGGCATTATGGAGACCCTTACTGCCCATTTAAGGCTGATGTGAGCATCCACTCTCTACATGGTTTTTTGTTAGTCTCATCTATTGCCTTTCTGCTGATGTTTCTCTAAAAACTTGAACACAGCAGCCCTGTACCAATGTTACATGGTTTTGCACAACAATGCTTAATATTTATTCACATTGGGTTCCTAGATACAGAGACAGTTTGTTTCCCTTGTGCCATTACTCTGCTGAACATTTAATTCCCACAGTACTGTCTTATGTCTAAGCATATTTACTCATGCAGTAAGACTCTAGTATTATTACCCCTCCTCCTATTGATATCATATTTATTTATTTTTATTTTATTTGGTTTGTCAATTGCTTACAAGAAAATAGGTATAAGTAAAAACATAGTTATGAATACTTGGATACATATAAGAAAAATAAAAGAAACAATAGGACAGGGACGGTAGGCACATTGGTGTGCTTATGTACGCCCCCTACAGACCTCTTAGGAAAGGGGTGAGGTCAATAGTAGACAGTCTAAGGTTAAAGTTTTGGGGGTTTGTGGAAGAAACCACAGAGTCAAGTAGAGTATTCCAGACATTGACCACTCTGTTGCTGAAGTCGTATTTCCTGCAATCAAGTTTGGTGCGATTAACCTTGAGTTTGTATCTATTGTGTGCTCTTGTATTGTTATGGTTGAAACTGAAGTATTCATTGACAGGTAAGGCATTGCAATGTATGATTTTATATACCATACTGAGATCGGACCGAAGGCGGCATAGTTCTAGGTTTTCTAGGTCTAGAATTTCAAGTCTGGTGGCATAAGGTATTCTGTAACGAGTAGAGGAGTGGAGAACTCTTTTTGTGAAATATTTCTGGATTTTCTCAACTGTGTTAATATCAGATATGTAATGTGGGTTCCAGATGATGAGCTGTATTCGAGTATTGGTCTAGCAAATGGTTTGTATGCTCTAGTTAGTAGTGTAATATTACCAGAGAAAAAGCTACGCAGGATTAGGTTAATGACTCTTAATGCCTTTTTGACTATGTAGTTACAGTGGGCTCTAGCACTTAGGTCATTAGAGATGAGTACTCCAAGATCCTTGACAGAGTTTGGATCATCAACAGGGTCTTGACTATTCAGCCTGTTATTATTACTCTGTTGTTTTCCATATACACTGAGAGCTTCTATATCGGAGACAAATTCCTTGTGTGTCTAATCACACTTGGCCATATAAAATAAAGTATTCTCTGCTGCCCCTCCTTTAGTTAAATGCAAATAGCTCTCATCACAAGCAGTAGAATATGAAACGTCCTGTCCAGAATAATAGAAGTAGCTTGTGCCTGGTAAATTTTAAATGGTCTATTTGAATTGCATAATAGTACAAACCTCTTAGTTAGCAGTGCTACAAATGCTTCCATTTTATGTTTCTTGTTAGCTTAGTGCAAGGCTGAATTAGTAAATTAATGGAATGACAATACCCATTCCCACTGACATATGAACAAAACACAGAAGAATCTGAACGTTGGCATTTGTTTCTTATATAAAGAAATGAGAGAAATTCTAAATAAATGTGCTGTTTGGGATTCAATGCCTCATATCACCCTGGTGTCCCCCCCCCACTGTATTTATTTAATTATTTTAAAATAGTTATAGAATAACAATGTTCATGGTACTTCAAACTGAAAAAATAATGAAGCCCCAAACTGTTGGAATAAAACTCAATAAAAATTTTATGGAAAACTCTGTAAAAACTCATTGCACCTCAGGATGGCACTTGTCTATTCATCCAGAGATCATCTTACTGCTTGGTTTACGGTAGCATAACATGTGGGAAAAGACAAACAGGAAGGGGCTTACGGATGATGGACAGTCTAATTCACCCCATTCCTGTAATGGTGTTTTGATTAGCAGCTTTTCCTCCATTGGCTATTTATGTTCGGAAGAGGGATGGAGGATTCAGCCAGTTTCTTTGCCTATCACACTATATAGGCATAATTCAGATGGCACATTTGCTAATGACTTAGAGACAGGAATGAGAAGTGTCGATGGAAACAGAATACTGCATGCTGGTATATTTTCTGTTGACTTCAGCAGTCCATCTTTGAGAGGTGGGATAGGAAAAAGTTGGCCACATTTCCTTTTCTTGAAATTACCTCTTCTCCCTTGCCTTTCCACAAGTTTCCTTTATTAAAGTTTGTTTCTTGTAGCACTGAGAAAGGAAGTGTTTAACTGTCTCAGTTTCTGTTTGTCTAAATAGCCAGTTCCAAGGAGCAAATTCTGTAGGCTAAAGACCAAGGGGGTCTGCCCTATTCTTTCATTCCAGCTCCATCTACATTCATCTACACATATTAAGAAGATAGCATCTTCTTGCTGCTCTTCATCACACCCTGTTCAAATCCTGTCCTATCTGGGCATTTGCCATATATGTTCAAGCAATTCTGCTCTTTCTAGCAAGAGTCACCTGCCTACGATTTTGATTACAAATCACCTTAAAGAGGCGGTCTGAACACTGTTTTAATATACAGAGCAGTGCTAGGCCTTGGAATATCACAGAACAAATCAGATTCACCGTTCTCATTGTTCTCATGCCTTATAAATGATTCATGTGCCCCGAGCAATCCAGATGGATTTCTACTCTGAGGATGCAATCTGAACAGAATATAGAGCCAGACTTCATAGTTCACTCCTCATGATGCAGCAAAGGCATAATCAGTATGTGTGTCTCAAGTCCCTGTTAGTAATTCTAAAAATCAAGACTTATGAAACAAGAACCTGAATACTCATTTGTTCCAGAGGGCCCATTAGTCATTCCGGTTGGAATCCTTTATTCATAGGGGCATGTATGTGAGCAAGTACTGATGAAGTATGGTGGATGTTTGTGATGGAATAGTAATATTAACAGCCTCATATTAAAATGATTTCAAGGAAGACTAGTTGTGAAGGTACTAATATGGAATCAGTCTAGAACAGGGGTATCAAACTTGATTTCATTGAGGGCCACATCAGGTTTGTGTTTGACCTTGGGGGGGGGGGGCAGGGAAGGTGTGGCCATGGTGGGTGTCGAAGTATTCCCTGTTAGGAGAATGAGTGCACTCAGGGAAACATAGTGAGAGTGGTGATGAATAACATACAACCAGCACACAGATACACTGAATAGTAAAATGTAAGTTTTACTTCCTGTAAATGGGTAAACAAAGTCCAACAAACAGTCCAAATCATACGTGGTTAAAGCAGTTAGTATTCAAAATAATCAGTCCAGGGATAATCCAAAAATGAAGTCTTTTTCTTTACCAGTATCATAAACAAAGTTCAGTAAACAGAGTTTGCGAATAGTTGCAAGACTCACAGCAATTCAAGCAGAATGATGATCAGGCAAAAGGCAAAAGGAAAGCAAAGGAAATGCAAAAAGAACAAACCAGGTTTCTGGCTCCATCTTATGGCCGTTGGAGAAACCTCAGCCAATCACAATTTCAACATTCTCTTAAAGATACAACAGTATTAAATGACTATCCTGGTTTATATATTGCCAACCCAACTGTGAGGTGGCTAACATTCCTAACAGTGGGCATGGCTAGCTCAACGTCACTCATGTCGGCGGCCCTCACAAGCTCCATTTTCAGCTGCAACAGCCTTCTGCAAACCCTCTGCCAACAAAAATGAAGCTTGGGAGGGGCTCCCATGGCCCTTGCGAGTTCTGCTTTATGCTGTGACGGCCTCCTGCTGCCTTCTGTCAGTGAAAACGGAGTTCGAAAATGGAGTTCGGGAGGGCTGCCTGCAGCCTCCTGAGCTCCATTTTCACTGGCAGAGGCACCACAGGCCGGTCCTTTGCTGTTTCCAGGGCAGCCCTGTGGGCCAGATCTAAGCACCCTGTGGGCCGGATCTGGCCCCTGGGCCTTGAGTTTGACACCCCTGGTCTAGAATATTTACATTAACTTTATTTAATATACTTCAGTGGGAATTTTGCTTTTGCTTGTGTATATAATGGGGTATGACGATTTAGAAACATTGTGTCCTCTCACTCCCAAAAGATTGCCTCATTTTGCACCAATCTCTTTCCCTAAGATTTTTTTTCAATGTATCCTTTTTTAAACATTCTAAATTGCTGATCTGATTTAGTCCTTTTCAGGAAGCAAAGACTTAGACTTCCTTCTCCATATTGGGACCATAGCGGCTTGCATGGTTAGGATACTGAGTTGGAGGCAACAGGTTTGCATTCAAGACTTGAGTGCTGCCACAAGGTGGGGTTGAGCTCCTGTCCTTCTCTCCAGCTCCTGCTGGAGACATGAAAGGAGTCCCCATCTATGCATCCCCTGGGCAATGGTGATGTCACTGGTTAAATACTTCCATCCCTCAATGCTTTTGACATGAATGCAATGCAATCTCCATATTAGGGTTCAAATTGCCCTGAATTTATTGAAGGATAAGAAAGGCACAAACCTGTTACCAGTAGCTCTAACTTTAAAGCTATGCAATTTCAACCTTTCTGGATTCTTGGT